GTCTTCTGGACTGGAACATACAGTATAACTCAGGATGAATGCAAACCTAAAATGATGCCCCTGTGTTTGTCACCTGACTGCTGAGATAACAGGCATGTACCCTCCTCTTGTATTATCTGCAGGTGATTAGAGAAGTTGAAGAATTGAAAGCATTTGTATACAGCGAACTCAATAATTTCTTCACTGAGTCGATTTTTCTGTGAAAAAAAGTAGGGAACAAAATTCAGTCATATTTTTATTATGTTCAATCAATCATACACTTTTCTATGCCTTAAAAATAAAGACTTTTTTTTCTGTATCAAACTCTAAGGGGTTGATTTAAAATGGTGGAGAAATAAGGAAAGATGACAATTTTTAGACACATAATGTCATGGTAAAATTTTAGACCTAAATTTTCTTTAAATGATTATGTTGAAATAAAAATGTGGGAAAAAGAAAATGCATAATTCATGAGTGATTCACCAATACAACATTAAAGATTAATCAGAGAGGTCGCAAGTCAAAGACTCAGTGATTAGAACATCAGGGAAAGGGAATTGAAGCCACTCATCTTTTAACTCATCTGCCTTCAGAAACTCAAGGCTTTGTAGTTTGGTCTTCCTTCTCCCTGACTCTTTAATACATTTAGGTCCCTTGCAGAATAGCCTATGCCAGTCTAGATACTGCCACTTAGCCACCTCATTAGAAACCTCATCACCATACCCTACTGAGCACCTTTGCATGTACATGTGTTTAGGATAACTGGTCACCAAGTTTCCCCAGGAAACTGGTTCCCCTCTCTCAGCAGACATTCATTGACTAAGATCCTTCATCTAGAGGTAGGACCTTTTAGGATATCCCTGGCTATGTTGTCATGTCCACTGGCATTGTTTAGAAAACTATACTGTTGAGATCTCATGAGTTCCACTTCCCAGACATGTGGCTCTGATAATCTTTCTAATCCCCCTCTTCTGTGACTCTCTCAGCCTTAGTGGTAGGGAATCTATTGTATACACACCAATTGAGGCTGGGTACCCCAAGGTCACTTCTTTTCTCCATTTTGACCAGCTGTCTCCATAGACTTTTTCTTTACTTCTTCTTATTTAAATTATAAACAAGATTGTTTTACATTTCAATCCCAGTTCCCGCTCCCTCCCCTCTTCCCCTGATCCCCACTGACCCATATCCCATCGCCTTTCTGCGCCCCAGGGAGGGTGAGGCCTTCCATGGGGGAATCTTCAAAGTCTGTCATTTCATTTGAAGCAGGGCCTAGACTCTCCCCATGTGTCTAGGCTGAGAGAGCATCCCTCTATTTGGAGTGGGCTCCCAAAGTTCATTTGTGTACTAGGGATAAATACTGATCCACTAGTAGAGGCCCCATAGATTAACCAGACCTCCAAACTGATATCTTTGTTCAGGGGATCAGGAACAGTCCTATGTTGGTTTCCCATAGAAACAGCTGACCCGAACAAAGGGGAGCTCATGGACTCCATAGACTTTTAATTCATTTATTTTACTTGTTTGGGCATATTCTCCCACAATGCTGAAACTTCCTTCTTCCAAACTTTGAATTTTCATCTGTAACACATTGCTTTTAGTTACAAGGCAGCCACTTCTCAGTTTGCCATGTAACAGGAACTCTCTTTGGATCACAAAAATGTGGAGAAGGGTTCAACATTTACAAGCAGTCTCTGAGTGTCAGGAACAATTCTAGGTGTTCTGCAAAACATCTTATTTAATCTTCCAATCGACCTTGTAGCAGAAATGATCCTCTCCATGCTACAGGTGAGTTAACACTGGCTCAGTAAGTCAATTATCTCATCCAGAAGGACACTGCTGCTAAGGCTGTAAAGGAAATCGGGTCTGAGTGAAAGCTCATTAGATTAGTCTCTAATATGAAATTGTAACTGGAGTTGCTTTATTCCTGAGCCTGAATTTTTTTCCTTTTCTTGATATACTGATTGCATGGCAGCCCTGTATCCTTTTGTATGTATTATCCTATGCTTATATTTCCTTTTCTTAAGATTTTATTGAAATGGTCTTGGGATTAGTCAGTAAAGTACTGGCTACACCAGCACTTGGTTCAGATCCTTGGTTTTCATGTAGAAAGCTGGGTACAGAGGCACCCACTCCTGAATCCCAGAGTTTGGAAGACAGAGACAGATGGAACCCTGTAGCAAACTGGACAACGAGCTTACACAGATTTGTAAGTTTCAAGTCCAGTGAGAGACACTGATTAAAAAAATAGGGTGAAAAGTGATGGAGGAAAATGCCCAGTTCAACCTCTGACCTCAACATGCAATCCCATATATAGAGATGGACATATACAAAACAGACACACACACATTTCATCACAGATGTGCATGTGGAATGGGTCACAAAAAGAATTCACCACTTATAATGTAGAGAAACAACATCAGAGGGGAAACAAAGGCTGACAGATGTGTGGCTGAAGACTATCCACTGCAGGGACTAGCCACATAAGTGGAGACACCAAAGAACCAATGGGTAGACTCAAAAGGAGGTCCCTGCAATCTAGCCAATGACTGAATAATAGCAGGCTCTAGATCACTGGGCAGCATCTGAAGCTATCATAGAAAACAAGTCACCTAACCTCTGTGAAAATGGTAATAGCCCATTTGCTGCTAAGAGAAGTAGTCTACAATCTTGTTTGCTGTTTCCTGGTTAATCTGTCAATGCCTGGAAAGGGTTATACTACTTAACAGATAATTCTCTCTCTCTCTCTCTCTCTCTCTCTCTCTCTCTCTCTCTCTCTCTCATTATCCCTTGCTTCCTCACTTACTACAACTATCGCTCATGATAGCTCATATGTAATTGTTCCTCCTTTCCTCCCTACTCTCCTTTCCTACCTTTATTTTTTCTCCCTTCCCTCCCTCCATCCTTGCATGTTGGGTCTTTCTGCAATTACATTTGGATTCATTTTGGTCTTCAGTAAGTGACTCTCATTGGTTTCTTTTACTCTCCAGTGAAGGTACTATCTTCCATATCCATGTTACAGCATGTTTTAAGTGCATATCACAAATGCATGAAAGTGGCATCTGTGTTTGCATTATTAGCAGAGGAAGCTGAGTCCTTGAGAGATAAAGAAGACCTTGAAGTGTCACAGATCAAGTTAGTAACAGATGTAATAGTATCATAGTTCTCCTGACATTTTAATTAATGCTTTTCCCATTCAGTGTCTGTTGATTAAGAAAATAAATACATAAGCAAAATGAGTCATTAGTTGGTTTTTAACAAGCTTTATAAGCAGGGGGTCATTAACTGGAAGTTCTGCATCAATGATCTTTTTATATTATATGAAAGCTCTGCTGATAAAGATTTGAACAATCCAGAATAGTATGAGTTATATGAACAGTGGCTCCTGTAACGTACATCAGAGTTTCAAAAATTTTGGTATTTATCTAAATCAGCCATGCATATAACAAACTCTAGAAAGCAAATAGAAGCTGGTGTTTCTCAGTCTTCTATAGAATATCTGTAGTGGCAAATAGTGGTGACATTAAGGGACACTCTCATTCTATTTAAAGCATAAAGCTTTGAATAGGAGGTGGAAGTATATTTGACTCATGGTAGAAAAAGATTTGTTAGAATCTGTTTTCTTATTTTATCAGCATGCCTTTGGCTAGTGTTCAGTGATTCAGTTCCAAGTGAATGTCAGAAAGGGGTCATCCTTCAAATCCACATACTGGAGTTTTTAACCCCTATTCTTTCTTTTCTTTTTTATTTAGAAACAATAATTTTACCTATCAATCCCCATTCCCTCACCCTCCCATCCTCCCATGCCCCACCCCCATAAATCCCCCAAGCCACCCACCCCACCTACTCCCCAAGGATGGTGAGACCTTCCAAGGGGGTCATCAAAGTCTGTCACATCATTTGGGGGTGTATCTGGGCTGAAATAGTATCCCTCCATAGACAATGGGCTCCTGAAGCCCTATTGTGCACAAGAGATAAATACTGGTTTCACTGTTAGTGATCCCATAGACTGCTTAGGCCTCCTAACTGGCACCCACACTCAGAGGGTTTGGTTTAGTGCAAAGCTGGTTCCCCAGCTTTACAACTGGTATTCATGTGCTCTCAGCTGGTTCTGTGGGTTTCTCCAGCACAGTCTTGACTCCTTTACTCATCCCTCCTCCCGCTCTACAACTGGATTCCAGGAGTATGTCTCAGTGCTTAGCTGTGGGTGCCTGCTTCTGCTTCAATCAACTACTGGATGAAGGCTCTAGGATGGCAATTAAGGTAGTCATCAATCTCATTATAGGGGAAAGGCATCAAAGGTAGCCTCTCCACTACTGCCTAGATTCTTAGTTGGGGTCTTCTTTGTGGATCGCTGAACATTTCCCTAGTGCCAGATTTCTCTTTAATTCTATACTGACTCCCTTTTGGTTGACATTCAAACTACCAGAAGGGATTTCTCCAGAAGGCAGAGCCACACATTGGAGTCTGTACTCCCATTCTTTTTGTTTTGTTTTGGTTTTGTTTGACAGAGTTGTCCCTTTTTAAATGTAATTTAGAAACAAGCTTGTTTTTCATGTCAATCCCAGTTCCCTCTCTCTCCCCTTATCCCTTGCCCCCCACCTATCCCCTTTCTCCTCCCCAGGGAGGGTGAGGCCTTCCATGGGGGATCTTCTATCATTTGGAGCAGGGCCTAGGCCCTCCTCTGTGTGTCTAGGCTGAGAGAGTATCTTTCTATGGGGAATGGACTCGCAATGTCCATTTGTACACTCGGATAAATAATGATCTGCTACCTGAGGCCCCATAGATTGCCCAGACCTCCAAACTGACATCCATGTTCAGGGGGTCTGGATCAGTCCTATGCTAATTTCCTAGCTATCAATCTGGGTTTCATGACGTCCCCCTTGTTCAGGTCAGCTGTTTCTGTGGGTTTCTCCAGCCTGGTCTTGACCCCTTTGCTTATCACTCCCTCTGCAACTAGATTCCAGGAGGTCAGCCCAGTGTTTAGCCGTGGGTGATTGCTTCTGCTTCCATCAGCTACTGGATGAAGGTTCTAGGATGACATATAAGGTAGTCATTAATCTCATTATTGGAGAAGGACATTTAAGGCAGCCTCTCAACTATTGCTTATATTTTTAGTTGGGGTCATTCTTGTAGATCTCTGGACATTTCCCTAGTGTCAGATTTCTCTTTAAAACTATAATGGCTCCCTCTATTATGGTATTTCTTTTCTTTCTCTCCTCTATTCTTCTTGTGACTCAATCTTCCTGCTCCCTCATGTTCTCCTCTCCCCCCTTCTCTCCTCTTTCTCCTAAACCCCTCTATCCTCCCCCCATTCTCCCAATTAG